GCGGGTTGCCAGCCCGCACGCCCCGCAACAAGCCCCAGCACGCCCAAGCACCGGCGCGGGTTGCCAGCCCGCACGCCCAAGCCCCCATGAAAAATCTTTCAAGCACTACGGTGTGGGCATGCCTTTCAAGCCCCAGCACACCCCAGCATCGGTGCGGGTTGCCAGGCTCCCACAAAACTTCTCATAATCCGGTGCGGGTTGCCAGCCCGCACACCCCGCCTGCCTTTCAAACCCCACCGGTGCGGGTTGCCAGCCTGCACGCCCCGGGTTGCCAGCCTTCACGCCCAAGCCCCCATGAAAGTTCTCATACTCCGGCGCGGGCTGCCAGCCCGCACACCCCGCCTGCCTTTCAAGCCACACCGGTGCGGGTTGCCAGCCCGCACACCCCGCATGCCTTTCAGGCCCCACCACGCCCAAGCACCGGTGCGGGTTGCCAGCCCGCACGCCCAAGCCCCCATGAAAGTTCTCATAATCCGGCGCGGATTGCCAGCCCGCACACCCCGCCTGCCTTTCAAGCCCCACCGATGCGGGTTGCCAGCCCGCACACTCCGCATGCCTTTCAGGCCCCACCACGCCCAAGCACCGGTGCGGGTTGCCAGCCCGCACGCCCAAGCCCCCATGAAAGTTCTCATAATCCGGCGCGGATTGCCAGCCCGCACACCCCGCCTGCCTTTCAAGCCCCACCGATGCGGGTTGCCAGCCCGCACACCCCGCATGCCTTTCAGGCCCCACCACGCCCAAGCACCGGTGCGGGTTGCCAGCCCGCACCATGAAAGTTCTCATAATCCAGCGCTGGTTGCCAGCCCGCACACCCCGCCTGCCTTTCAAGCCCCACCGGTGCGGGTTGCCAGCCCGCACACCCCGCATGCCTTTCAGGCCCCACCACGCCCAAGCACCCGTGCGGGTTGCCAGCCCGCACACCCAAGCCCCCATGAAAGTTCTCATAATCCGGTGCTGGTTGCCAAACCGCACACCCCGCCTGCCTTTCAAGCCCCACCGGTGCGGGTTGCCAGCCCGCACACCCCGCATGCCTTTCAGGCCCCACCACGCCAAAGCACCGGTGCGGGTTGCCAGTCCGCACGCCCAAGCCCCCATGAAAGTTCTCATAATCCGGTGCGGGTTGCCAGCCCGCGCACCCCGCCTGCCTTTCAAGCCCACCGGTGCGGGTTGCCAGCCCGCAAACCCCGCATGCCTTTCAGGCCCCACCACGCCCAAGCACCCGTGCGGGTTGCCAGCCCGCACGCCCAAGCCCCCATGAAAGTTCTCATAATCCGGTGCGGGTTGCCAGCCCGCACACCCCGCCTGCCTTTCAAGCCCCACCGGTGCGGGTTGCCAGCCCGCGCACCCCGCATGCCTTTCAGGCCCCACCACGCCCAAGCACCGGTGCGGGTTGCCAGCCCGCACACCCAAGCCCCCATGAAAGTTCTCATAATCCGGTGCGGGTTGCCAGCCCGCACACCCCGCCTGCCTTTCAAACCCCACCGGTGCGGGTTCACCCGCATGCCTTTCAGCCCCACCACGCCCAAGCACCGGTGCGGGTTGCCAGCCCGCACGCCCAAGCCCCCATGAAAGTTCTCACAATCCGGCGCGGGTTGCCAGCCCGCACACCCCGCATGCCTTTCAGGCCCCACCACGCCCAAACACTGGTGCGGGGTGCCAGCCCACACGCCCAAGCCCCCATGAAAGTTCTCATAATCCGGTGCGGGTTGCCAGCCCGCACACCCCGCATGCCTTTCAGGCCCCACCACGCCAAAGCACCGGTGCGGGTTGCCAGCCCGCACGCCCAAGCCCCCATGAAAGTTCTCATAATCCGGTGCGGCTTGCCAGCCCGCACACCCCGCCTGCCTTTCAAGCCCACCGGTGCGGGTTGCCAGCCCGCGCCTTCAGGCCCCACCACGCCCAAGCATCCGTGCGGGTTGCCAGCCCGCACGCCCAAGCCCCCATGAAAGTTCTCATAATCCGGTGCTCGTTGCCAGCCCGCACACCCCGCCTGCCTTTCAAGCCCCACCGGTGCGGGTTGCCAGCCCGCACACCCCGCATGCCTTTCAGGCCCCACCACGCCCAAGCACCGGTGCGGGTTGCCAGCCCGCACGCCAAGCCCCCATGAAAGTTCTCATAATCCGGTGCGGGTTGCCAGCCCGCACACCCCGCCTGCCTTTCATGCCCCACCGGTGCGGGTTGCCAGCCCGCACACCCCGCATGCCTTTCAGGCCCTGCCACGCCCAAGCACCGGCGCTGGTTGCCAGCCCAGAATCGTGATTGGTGCCACCTAGAATCATTCCTGGCGAGTTGCCGTTTTAAAGACCCATACCGCAACTAAGCAGTCCAACCTCAATCAAAAAACACTTGGCGAAGCAGACAAAGCCGATAGTTCAAACCCGTTAAACCGGGTAATTCTCACAATGTCATTGTGCAAGTCATTTACACTGGGGCCGTGAGGCGACATGGCGCGTACCACTAGGAACAACCTGAAATGCTGAATGCCGACGTACGTCAAAGCCACCCAAGTCCACTGCTACAACTCCACGCTTTCAACCGGGATGCTGGGATGCCGGTGGCAGGAAGTCTTCCTGGTTCTTCAGCCTTCAGAGATTTTGTTGTTCGGGGCCACACGGCAACTCACTGCCCAACGTCTTTTGTGTTTCGCGTCGAGTCTCGAACCCTCGCACAACACCCTCGACCCAACCGCCCTCGACCCGACACATCAGCCACGTTGCGTGGTCAGGCAGCTAGTTGCCTCGTCTGGTGGATTCGCGGAAGGGAAGTTAAGGGGTTAATTTGCACATTGCGACGCATTCGACATTGCGTGGCGGCTGCACACCCTTTATCCTATTAAACCGAGTATATAGCCCCTTCGGTCCACAGAGGTGTAGGAGCAAAGCTACAGATGCTAGGGACTCTGGGGACGCTAGGGACGCTAGGGACGCTAGGGGCGCTGCAGACGCTGCGGATGCTATGTCGAGTCGCCAGGTCCGCTGAGCCCCCAATGAGCCACGGCACGCCTCACGAAGAGTGCTCCAGATTTGTTGAGGATCTTGGGGTGCCATGTTCTTTTCCGGTGTTCGCCCTGTGCTTTTGTCCGTAGATCACGTCCACGTCTCATCCAGGTTCCGGGGTCAGAGCTTAGGAAGTTTGGGGTGAAGTTGAGCTTCGATGAGCAGCTAGGGATTAGTTGCAAGGGCACGATGCAAACGAAAGCTATCCGAAAGCGGCAACTTATCTCCTCAATGCTCCTGCATGTGTTAAAGAGCATAGAGTCTGACTGATTGCAAAACCTCGATGAAGCCACAACGCCAACCGAGCTCGAGACTCCAAACCCGCAACCTGCAGTGTTGCCCCATCCTGCCTTGGCCAATCATGTTCCTTGGCTGTTCTCGGAGCACTAATTCACGGCAACAAGGCCCGCGGGATAGATACACATATATGTATGTGTATATTTATGTATAAGCACACGCAATATGTACTTGGCCTTGTAACTAGGCTCAGACACCTGAGACTCACACGATAACACGGGAAACTACCGCAACAACTGCGGAGATTTCGGGGCTTGCAACCTGCAAAGTTCTGCTGGACGCTGCAAGGGCCGAAGCTCTCACGTCTGGCATCCTGTGCTGCCGCCCAGGCTCAGACAGTCACTTGACGACTGTCGGGTTGCCTTGCCCTTGGGGTCCTTGGGTCAGTCGTTGAGGGGGACGCGCAGGCTTCGGAGGGCTTAAACAAGGAATAGAGACCGGAACAATGACAACAAGATGGCCGCACAGAAACGCTCATGCGAACTCAGAAGGGCAGAACAATCACAAGGTACCGATGATCAAGAGGAAGATAGAAGTGCCCAGAGGTCTCACGCTGCGCACTGCCTAAGTCTCATTGGGAATGGCCCACATATCGCGGAGAAGTTCCTCCGATGATTTGAAGCCGGATTCCAGTCATTGAAGCTTGCATGTTGATGCCCCTCAAGCTTGCGAGGAACACGAGCCCTTTTGTGTCCTAGGGGCCCCGAGGCATCTCCGAAGCCGCCTACTTCCTGAGCCTCAGGTGACCGACAAACACAAACCCTCGGCCCAAAGCCCTAGGCCCGTGGCCCCTTATTTTGGCAGCTGGGAGTCTGTCGGGAACGGCTTGCAGTGCTGGTCCCACCCCTGCTTGCGGGGTGCAGCAAGGTGTGGAATTGGACCAGGGGAGGAAAAGTGAGACTCTGGAGAAGCAAAACGACCATTACGCCCCTGAGAGAAGCGGCTGAAGGTATACCGGGTTGGGTACAGGGCTAGGGAGCTTTGTGATGGAGCTTGGTGCTTGCACGTTCTTGCACCGCAGTCGTGTTAAGCGTCACCGGCCGGCCTCAGGCAGCTTGCCTTCAATGAGCGTCTGCAGGTGCCGTCCCTGTGCCCAAGTTTTTGAGGGGCTGAGAGGAAAGGGTGGAGAATGGCCGGAGAAGGACATAGCCTATTCTTGACTTCCAGCCAGAACAGGCTTAACACGAACGGACTGTTGAGCCTTAAAGCAGCCACGGTCTGGAAAAGATGGCCCCTCGACCCCCAAAGGCAGCAGCGAGCTTCTCCACGCGAAGGGCTGAAGAGTTGTACTTCCGGAACACATCAATTGCATGGCCTGGCGTCCTTTCCGCAAGTTAATGATTGCTTCGAATCTGTATGCGAACCTTGCTTACCTGCAACGGGCGGGAGAGTTAAAGTTTAGGGATCCCAAATCCCAAAGGCACAGCCCTTTCCGAGACAGCCTCCTCGGGGAACTTGGCCTTGTAGTTGCCAAACATCTTGTCCCAGTCCTCTCCACACTTCCCAGAAGCAGGATCTATGATCCGCACCCCCCCCCCCACCGGCATGACAAAAAAAACCAGGCTCCATGAAACAATGGCATTGCAAACCTGGGATTCTGGGGATGGGCACGACAAGGATGCGAACTTGTGTGGGGATTTTCTGTGGGCGGGGCTCTCTAGGGAGGCCCTTAAAGCGAGGAGGCGAGGAGGAGGGTTGGCTGAAAATCTAACAAGCCAAGTGTGGAACAACGTGCCGTGCCCCATCGACCCCCGGGACCAGTGGATCAACTTTCGAGCAGCTTCGACTTGCGCCCAAAGGCGACCAAAGCTCCAAAAGCTCCCTGAACAAGAACTCAATGTCCTGTCGCTGCGTGCCGCCCCGGGCGAGCATCTGCTGACCTTGGGGTGTGGGGGAGCCGGGGGGGGGGGGTCTAACGTTTTGTTTGTTCCAGATAGGCAGGTTTGCGGGATGTTTTTTGCGGGCAGCGCAAAGCATTCCTCGAGTGCTCACCTTGTCAGGCACAAAACCCTGCAGGATCCCCTCCCTGTATGACAACACCTTGGCCGAGGTTCGGAAGTGCTGCGTCACCTCTTCGGGCACCTCCAGCGATTGGGAACCAGCTGATCGCATGAACGTCACAACTCTGAAGCTTCGAGGGCACCCCCCCCCCCTCCCAAAATCCCATCGGAATGCCCGAAAACCCCCTGCCAGAAACTTCTCATCTGGCCAGTGGTAGATGTGCTTCGTCGCCTTGGGTGCCCAGCGATTGCTTGGCTTCAAAGGGGCTTAGATTGTTTGGGTTCAGTTTTTCGGGAGGAGACTCCTTCTTCCGATACTTTAAGTTGACCCTAGAGCCCTGTGAGTCCCCAAGCCATGAGTGTTCAACTTCACTTTAACACTGAGGGCAACGCCAGCAGAGTTCTTTCTGTATTTCTCTGTCTTTCTCTACTTTCTCGCTGTGTACTTTTCTAACATCTCAGTCCTTCTTTCTTTATGTCGTCCTTTCTCCCCTTGGCTCCAGAAGTATCAAATGTTGCTTAGTTTGTGGCGGCAACATGCGCCCGAACCTTTCAGCTCTTTCTGGACCTTGCCCATCCCACCCACTTCTTCTCCACTCTGCCTCACTGCCAGCTCCCTATCAGATAAAGCCCCCCAAGCAAGCGGTGGGCCACGAGCCTGCCAGAACGGCACAATTGGGATCAGTCAGAATGCTCCGGGTGCTAAACCGAGGCAGGGGCAGTGACCTCCTTCTCGCCCAAGGGGGTGCCATGAGCGTGGAAATGATCCTGTCCAGTGCCAGATTTTCTTGGGCGGGTTCAACTCGTGATGATTGTTGGCAGGGTTTGGCCTCTAATGTACTCTAAAGCTGACTCGGGTCCTTGCAGGACTTTGCAATTTCTTTGCCCCTTGCAGGGCTTTCTTTTTGCATCTCCTGAAGCACCCGGCCTGCATGGTGGGGGCTCCCCAAGCGATGTGAGAGTCGACAACGATCATCGTCGGCCGCTCGCGCCTTAGCAACTGAACTCTCACTGAACTGCCTTGTGGGGGTCGGCGGGTTCAAGGCTCAGGGCTGCGATAGTGCGGAGTAAACTTTTGTGGATGGTGTTGTTGCTTTTGTGGCCCATTCAAGATACATTGGCTCTCTGGAGCTTCACACTGCAAGCCTAACTTGTCCCGCACCGCTGCCTTAAACGGTCAAAGCAACTGTGGAAGGAGATGGGCAAGTCATGCCAAGCCATAAACACTGAAACAGACAGTGTGCCGAAAGCTCAAAGGCGGAGTGCCTTCAACCCCGAGCCGGAAAAAAAAAGAGAGCGGGGGTGCAAAGGCTCTAAAGGAATCACTGAAAGGAGTGCGATGCACAGCCCAAAGAAGCGAGCTGAAGCCCTGGCTCGCGCTTGAAGCTGAGGAAGGCTCGTGTCAGGGCCTGCGTTTGGCCACTTTGGAGAGAGAGCCGAAGGCTTTTGATTTGTAGGCCCCGAACCCACAACAGCCTCCAAAGCCTAGCGCAAGCCTTCAAAGCCGACAGTGCGGAACCTTGAAGAACGAAACCCCTCCCAACCGCAAGGCGCATGGCACCGCTTTGTGGAGGTGTTTGGGATCAAGACTTTCGCAAATTGGGGCCCGCCGAGAGGGTCTCGCGGATAGGAGCAAGGATCTACTTTGCGGGTGCGGTGTTGGAGAGTTTCTGTACGGCTTTGAGGTTAACTTTGTTACAGCAAGGGGATTCAAGATTGCTCATGGGGCTTATTGGATTTCAGGTTTTGGGGTGTGAAACGGCCAAAGGCTGCAGTTTGTTGTCTGGTGAAGAAGGTTGGGGTTTACAGAAGCCTCGGGGTTCGGAGCTTAGGGTTTCAGGAAGGTTTATCGTTCGGGTGTTGACACTCCTCCACATCGTTGGCGTCTCCGACTCTCAGGACATTCCAGCCATAGGCTATAAAGCGGGTGGTGATGTCTTCAGAGATCGCCCACCTGGATCAATCACCGCACTGTTCTTACAATTCAAACTGATGCCGGGTCGATCATTAAACACCCCCATCGACTTCAGCACTTCCGCAAGCTGAGCCGCCCCCTGACCTCCCGACTATAAGCAACGGCGCAGAACACCTGCATACCAGATCCGTCTAGAACCTACAGAAGGAGGATTCCCACGTGAAAACCTGCAGACTGCAGGGGGTCCTTTAGGGCTTAACATGAAAGCCAAGAGCACCAGTTGGCTTCCTCCTGGGCCCCACTAGGACTCAAGGACACAGGGGCGCAGGGGCGCTAGAATGGCTTCAGAGAGGGGGGGCCAGCGGCCAGGCGAGCCGCGACGTGTTGCCCTCAATCGTGATCTGGTTGTTGTCCCAGATCCAACCTGAGCACCAGTGACCCCTTCTGCAAACAGTCTCCCCCCCCCCCACTTCCACCGAAACCAACTTTCAACAACATGATAAAAGGGCATCCCAAACACTATTGCTGATCCCCCACAATGGCATATCTGTCGCCATCAGCACAAAGCAATTTCAATCTGAAACTCCCGGTCCTCATGCCTTGTATCAAACACCAACGCAGGCCCACACTCGCTCCTGCTCGTGAACCCTCAATGCTGAAATGGGTAGGGCCCGGGTTAGGGGTTAATGAAGCTTTCGGCAGGTTCCTCTGCAACCCGGAATCCCTGCATCATCTATCCTCTTGAAGCCTGAACTCGAACCTCCAAAGAGATATGGGAGGGAGGGTGGGGTTCTAGAAGACATGAACACAAAGCCAACGCAAAAAAAGAAAAAGCAACAACATCCTCCCCTTCCCCCCCCCCCAAACCCGAAGAGCCTGAACCCCTGATGCATTTTGCAGCTGCAGGCGCAGAGGTTATCCAGCTTGAGATGGCCTCATGATTTCTAGGCTCTCTTTGCTTTTAACTTTTTCATGCAATTACAGAATGAGCAGAACCGGGATGTCACCTTATTAGTAACCCTTGAAGGGGTGCATCTGGAACCTCATTCTGACTTGTTCTCAGATTCCTTGCTACTAAACCAATACCTTTTGGACTTAGAGTGCAGACGTCAGGGGTGCAAGGCTTTTTCGTGGGGTTCGCTAGTTGGCAACTACTCTCCGCGGCCCATCCCTACAACAAAAGGCCACACACACACACACACACACACACACACACACACACACACACACACACCCTCCCTATCCTGGTCCCCTCGCAAAATCCTGGAACACCCCTGCGCTGCCGCCTGCAAGGCTAGCCGCCTCGGCTGAGACGCCCTCCTGGATAAAGTGGGGAAGTGAGGGCTCGAGGGCGGATCTGTGGTGTGTTAGGGTTGTTTTTTTAAGAGTCACAGACAGACAGAGAGAGAGTGAGTGAGTGAGTGAGTGAGTGAGTGTGAGTGAGTGAGTGAGTGAGTGAGTGAGTGAGTGAGTGAGAGTGTGTGAGAGAAAGAGAGAGTGAGAGAGAGTGAGTGTGTGAGTGAGTGTGTGAGTGAGTGACTGAGTGAGTGAGTGAGAATCCTCGAGACCTTCTTGGCGCCGGGTCCTGGAGGTCACCGTCGCTCGCCAACGCGTAGATGCTGTAGCCGAAGAGGGGGAAGTCGGGCCTCGGAGGCGACAATGTTCTTTTTGCGGGAGAAGGGGGGGGGGGGGTTCTATCAGGCACAGCGTTATTTCAGGTTTATTTTGTGGGTATTGACCAAAACAAAAGGAGGCTCCAGATCGAGCGCGCGAGTTCTGGTTCACTCACAATCTGGAGCCATCCTTTTCTGACGACTGAGCCCAAGGCTCCTGTCACCTGTCTCTTGCGGCATCCACTCCAAAGGCCATAAACCTTCACTGCACGCCGAGTCGCTTGTTGAACTTTGCCGCAAGCCACTTGGAGGCAATTGCCATTCCTGCTCGTCTTGCCCCTTTCGGGGCCAAGCACCCACTCTACAACCGAAATCTTCGGGTTGCAGTCAGGTCTGCAAACGCTACGGAAAGTATATCCCCCGAAAACAGGGAAAGTCCAGTCTGGCGGTTTGGTGGTGGTAGTTTTGGTGGTAGTGGTGGTGGTGGTGGTGTTGGTGGTTGGTTGGGGTGAGGTTGGGTGACTGGAAGCCACAGCATCCAGTATCCGACTATTCCGTCGGGAGCGGGCAACAACCACAAAGTCACACGCGCGCGCAAACCCGGAGAGTCCTCAGAAGCCGAGCTGGCCTGAGGATCTAAGTGGGCCACCTGGGACACCCCTACTCCCTGGACACTGGTACCCATATGTACCCATGATCCACCCTCTGTCCTACGCTGGTCGCCACGCCCTGGGCGAGGGGACCGGTGGTGACCTCCACGCCGGAAGTTTCACCTGGGTGACTGACAACGGGGTTGCAGAATTGGGCGCTCTAAGGCTACAAGTGAGCACGCTTTTGGCAGCTCCAAGGCTCAAGCCCCAAGGAACCGATCATTATGAGGACTCAATTTCCTGTACCCATGGAGCACCCTGAAGCTGCGAAACGTGGAACAAAGCACCGAAACAAAACATCGACCCCCCTGCCCCGTGTCTGGGTAGCAGCACCGTATTCCGGATGCCCTGGGGTCTTGGAACCCAGTTGCCGGAACTCCTTGGGGGGGGGGGGGGGGGGGGGGGGGCGGCTTGAGTGTTGTAAGGTGGGGCCTTGGGCGTCTGATTGGCCTAGGGGTGCCAGGGTGTAAAAAGCCATCTCAAAGCCCACACAATCCACAAAGAGGTGTCGCAAGCTCCTTGATGTCCTCCAAGGACACTGCTGGAAGTCCAGAGGCCTTGGGGGGAGCGGTAGAATCGTCACGCCCACTTGCCCCACCGGCCTTGTGCGGGGGGCACATGGGGGGAAGATTTTACTCAGCTACAGCAATCAGAAGAGCACCGATTCCTGATGCAATGGTCTTCTTTTGCCTTGTTTTTGTTCCAGTGCAAGGCTTCTGAGCAACGAGGTGATAACCCCGAGTGGAGATTTCCCACGCTGCTAGCACTGTGTGTGTGCCCTTTGCCACAGTGAAAGCCTTGAGTCCCCGACCTCGCCCTCTCGCGATACCTCAAGCTCAGTTGGGGATTTAGGTCCTTCAAGTTTTTCAAATCTTGAGATTGGTTCTTGTGTCAAACGATTCACCTTCAAGCCGAAACCCTCAGTCCCCTACCC